CAACGTGCCATCAGGAGAGACTGAAGAAGACACAAAGGCTCATGTCATGCAACTGTACAGGGAGAGAAACGCGACTGTGGGTAAGGATGGTACCAGGAAGCTCGCAGGTCCCGTGAAGTTCATTGATGCCGTAATGCAACTGTCATCTCATCCGAAATTTTCCAGCGCTATCGGAAAATATCTGCTTCAACACCGTATCGTTCCTCCGGCTCTTCTCAGATGAGTTGTGAAGCTGTGCGTCAACTTTCGTCCGATCAAACAATCCAATGAGGACAGTGGCCACCTTTGCAACAGTCCTAGCTGAATCGGGAACATAGAAATGGTTGCTCCATCACGCTCCCGACCGAGAGGCGTTAAGCAGGAGAAATATGAAAATGCAGCGGAAGGAGGTTCCTTTAAGATGGCAAAGTCAATCGAGCGTGTCGGGATAGCGATCGAAAATAGCACAAAGGCGAAGCTTGTTGCGTCGTCAGTTGCTATCCAGTTCAAGATCATCAAGTCCCTGCTGCTTCGTGAGGAGGAAAGAGGATCGAAGCTGATGCAGCTCCTGTCGAAGGCGTCGTCTATGAATGCAGGCCAACACGAGAGAATTGAACTCTCTAATGAAGATGGCGGCGCAACAGAAGAACCTCAAGTGACAAGATATCCATAGTTTTGGTCCTGATGCTGGTGCGTGTTGATTTTTGAGGTCCTCTTTCACGTCCAGAGCTACAGGGCATGGCACTGCCTAATTGATGATTACGTCACCGTCCGAGAACCTGTCATTTATTATGTGACTCGGTTTTCTGGGAGACCAGAAGGTGATCTCGACGCTGGAAGGTCAGGGTAATTAGTAAGCAGCTTGAAGAACATATAAAAGATGCAATGTAAATTGGATGCGGGATGCATATTCATCGGGCATGGTTTGAAGTCAGGTTTTCGAACAATAAATTTTGTGATTCCTCCCGAACAGTTGCTTGACACTGTGATTCGGTTTGCGGTATCGAAAACCATTGTTGTGGTTGTGATTCTTGAACAACACGCTGCTCGGAGGGGACGTCCAGTCAGTGACGCACGACTCGATTGAAAACGCTGACGTGGCAATGCAACTACATGGTGTCTACATGAAGTTGAACGGCCAAGGGAGGACGGGACGTGTTCGAGCGCAATCTGAAATGTTGAATATCTCAAAGGATGGAAAAGGGATGTGGAATTCCCGTTTGTGATCGGTTGGAAAGACGCGGTGGGTGGGAAGAGCGATGAGTCAATGGTGAAAATGTAGGCGCCATTGTTGGAATAGAAGCGAACAAAGCGGAGAGAAATAGAGCAAGAGTGGGGCGGATGCATATTATTTGTTTTACTGTATAGAGAAATGAAAGAATGCGGTAAAAGCGTGTGGTGCCAGTTTCTT